TTTTAGAAAAGTCAGGTAATATTCTGAAAAAAAAATGCGATTTTTGAGATTTTCCGTGGTTCTCAAGAATGAAAAAGTTGAGAAATAGGCAAGTTTCCCACATTACTTACTGGATCGAGATTTAAAAAATATGACCTTTACAACCTACACGATATAATTCTAGAACAATAGTAGAACATGGATTAAATAAATTTTAAAAAATTTGTGTTTTCTCTGTGTTGTAAGACTTGCCTTTTACAAGTTTGGTAGAACAGAATTTGTTCACAACTAGTAATTGCTCCACATTTTTCTCAGTACGAACTAATCTAATAATCTGATAATATAATCTAATAATTCTCTAATGTTTTTTCTACTACTTTTAGAGAGTCTCTTTATGAATTTCTTCAAAAATGTATGATTTAAAAATTTAGAATAAGTCTAGCACTTTTCCAAGTGTCGCGTAAGCCCTCTTCAAATAGCTGTAAGAAGCGAATTTAAGATTATAGATTGTGGAAAATACAAAGAATTTAAGATTTTTGAGCGCTGGGTAAGTGATCACTGAAACTCTTATTTTGAATTACGTGTAATTTAGTAGGTTGAGGAAATGTAAGATTATGACTATTTGTTTCTTAATTCAGTCTAGTAACACAATTCTTATTATGCAAATCTGTTTTTGTTTATGGCATCGACTCCCAGAGTCTATTAGGAACGACCGCAGGCTATTTAGTTCTCGGCGACACTAAAAAAAGAATTTGGGGGAAAATGTTCTACTAAGAGTTGTAATCTATTTTTCAGAGTCACTCGCCTACTGGTTTTTCTCGTTTGGGCAATTTCTGGATTGCTAGCATTATGTTTGTTCATCCTGGAGTCTATTCACAACTCTCCAAAACAGGAATGTACTCCAATGCGTCTGCCTAGCCTTTACATATTATTTTCTGCTTCGGCTTCATTTATAGGTCCAGCCGTGGTTATGGTGCGTTATTTCAATCATAAATTATATGTTTTGCAGAATAAAGGAGTTTTAGTTACAGATTGCCTTGAATGTTTCGATTTTCTGCACAGTACTAACAACAAGCAGATCTAAATGCGTTTCAATCAACAGTGGCTCATCGCTGCGTATTCATCGAGGAAGAAGACCAAGTCATAATAAGGTTAGTAGCTTTACCTTCTTATAATTTAGACAAAATTTTACCTTGTTAACGAAACATCGTATGGAAAGTGCTTGAATCGCCGAGGTCTCCAAAGCTCTCTTATTAGTCCACTTCCGTAAATTGACCGTCTTCAGCCCTTTGCAAAGAATCGTAAAATAAGCAATTTTATTATATAGATGAATTTTTATAATAGATGTAAGATATTATAAAAATTCATCTGAATTTTAAAGTTCTTATTTTACGATGCTTTTTTTACATTGTCAGTTATGTGAAAAAACTTTCATAAAACCTTACAACTCACTACACAATTAGAAATTCAAAAAAACTCCTGTTTTCTAAAAATCTGTTTATCTTTAAAAATTAGTTCAACTTCAAAAAATAGTAATAGCAATAATTTTTCATAGATCTACAAACATATAATATTTAAATTGATTTCGAGTTACAAGTCTGTTTCCGGGTCCCACGCCTTGTTTTATGATGTAGTAATATTAGTATTCTATTGATTTTCTACATTTAAAACTCTCAAAAATAATTTTCAAATTTCAAAAAATGAATTTAGTCGCTGTTCTTTTAGGTTTTAAAATCCTACTCTGTGGAGACCAACGACATGCAACAACATCCTAAATTATTGAATGAAATACCACAAGCTGATCTGTTACCACTTGGTATGGTCATTGTATCATTTCTTTTTTTCAAATTTATTCCCATTATTAATATTTGACAATCAGAAGGTGTATGTGTTAAATGCTACTTTACTCTCAAAAATCTCTTATCCTTTTCTCTTATGAAGACATATTTCATGGTGCCAATTGGATGTTCAGGAAAGTTTTGAAACACCACCTTTTCAGAGAATACCCCCTTGCCTGCTGCTGTAGATGGCGATAAACACGCAATCGGAAATCTGAAGACATTCTTCTCGCAAGCAATGGTCGTATCATTTGTTAATAACACAAAGAAGAAAAATAACATATTATCGCAACTTGGAGGGTAAGTCTCAGTAATTGGACAAACGTCTACGGTTTTATTGTTGAAAATCGATGTTTTAGTATAACTTGAAGACACAAAAACATTTACGCTTTTATAGTTAAGAGTCGATGTTAGTATAACTTGAAGATGCAAAAACAATCTTTAGGATGGAACCTAATTAGCACTTCCCCAAGCAAAATTACGACAGGTTTTTACACATAATGCATCTCGTAATGAAATAATCTAAAAAAATCAAGAGGAACACAAGTACGCAGTACTAAGATAAGTTCCAAAGGAGAACTTGGGATTTTCGCAGTTATCTGGTGAACATACTGTTAGATTAAAGCTTCAGCAGCAATGCAGGTTTTTTTTGGAATTAAATATATTGAGAATGCACTGTAATGGTTTAAATTGCTTATTTATTATGTATGCACTAAGCAATCAGGCAGGCACGAAAAGCAAAAAGAACGGGAGAGAGCAGACAAAAAATTGACAAAGTCGTGTCTAAGAGAGGACTTCTTTACAACGATAATCATGCGATAGGTTCACGGTCCACCGCACAAAGAAAGAACTTACAGTTTCTAGCAGCTTCTACCATATTACCAAATTCAATGAGACGGATGTTTTGTACGTTTACAATGTCCGTCAAGGGGATAAACCGCGTGAAACACAAAACATAATCAAAGTCGAAATTTGTTCATTTTTCTGTTACGCCCGGGACTTTACGCTCAAACACTTAGACTTGAGAAATAATTAAAGAGAATGATTGTTTGTTCCATTTGGAAAGGAAACAAAGTAATTTTACGATTAAACGTCGAGGAAAATTTGTATGTATAATATTGCTAATAGAATGGATCAGATGAAATGTATGCTTATTTTTCATTTTTTTAGTGATCGCCAGCGACATCGCTTCTCTCGGTTACCATTACGTACAGAACTTCGGGTAGCTCGAACGACAGCTGTTGTTGTGGCTGTTTTCATTATATGCTGGATTCCGTTCAGTACAATCTATACACTTCAGGTAATTTGATTACGCATTAATGTGCTTACTTTAATTTTTACGCTAATAAATAAATCCCACAGCTGTAATCCCCAATTTATTTGAGTATTTTAGGCTTATTCAATCTGCCTTATGCCTGATTGCATTACAAATACGATGTACGTGATCGCATTCTGGCTTGGTTACTCGAACTCAGCGGTAAATCCACTGCTGTACGCAGCATTTTCTCGAGATTTCCGTGCGGCTTTCCGAAAAGTTCTCAGCCGCAAAACCAAAGGATCCATATACAAATAATTGATTACTGATTTCGTCTATGTATTTGTTATACAACCTTGTACCTTTTTATTTGTTGTATATTGCTCCAGCTTATTCAAAGCTTGCAAGTTCACATTTAATGATTGTGCCAAATATTTGTTTTCTCATTTTGTTAATAGTTGTTAAGCTTAACCGGACGGGTCCACTGCCGCCAATACTCCATTTGCCAAATGAATGTTG